AGCTATGTGTAATTCAGTTAAATTTAAAAATGTTTGATTAATCATATTGAAAAACTCTAATGGAAATGGTTTATAGTCATCATATAAATGTATACGTTGGACATTTGCCCAATTTGTTGACGAATTACTCTAAAAGTATGAGAAAAATGTTGAGTAAAAAGCCATGATAGAAGCTTACATCAAAATAAGAGTTTATACATATACATACACACCTTAAGATTTTGTTGTTGATCATTTAAAAAATTATTTGATACATATGACATTTTATCATAATGAAATGGTAATGAATATAAACATAAACGGGAAATATCCCTAAAATGATGTAGATAACATCCAACATGGAACCTTTTATCATTTTATCAAAAATTATTTCTAAATGTTGAAATAATTTGTGTTGAAGTTGTTGTCTCATTCAAAATGTTTGGTATCATTAAACTTGTTAGATAAAAATGAAATCGTTTTAAATATTTCATATGAGATAAAAAACTTTTATATAAATAATCACCATCGATCCATGTAGTTCTACTCAAACGAAATGGTAGATTTATGATAAATACTCAAAATGAACTAAAAACCACAAATATTGTATTGCAATTAGATTGGATTTAGGCATGCATCGATTTCGGTAAAAAACTAACATCCGTAACACCAATCTTCGATAAACATTGTTATTTATAGATAATCAACGACCAAAGGCATTGGCTAACCTCGTGTACGGTCAAGAGAAACTATTGCATAGAACTTTTCCTACACATCGTATCTCCACCTTCAGATCTGAATAACTTTTCTATTTGTACCTGCAATGTGTCGTAATAACAATTCGATAAACTCATAATTGACTGTTACGCTCATACCAACTAAAGCAAAATGTTTCAAATATTTCAGTTTGTTATAGAATGATGGCACCAGTTGGTCATCACCGTTTTCGTAGATATTTACACTCAGATAATTGACTAACGGTAAACTATTCAATAAATTGAGACAACATCTTGAACATTTGATAACATCGCAAAATTGATACAGCGGTAACTCTACAATAACTACAGAGACAATTATAAACATTCTAAACAGTAATAGGTCTTCAAAACGGAACTTGTCCGTTTGTTGTCACAACATCGAGAGCCTCTACCCTAATCTAGATACTCTGAAAAGTTTAGTGAAAATATCTAGTGACAGTTTTACCCCGATTGATGTGATTTGTATCCAGGAATCGTGGTTAATTAGTAGTGTAACAGACTCTGAAATTGATATTTCAGGTTACTCTGTCTACAGGCAGGATAGACTATCGGCCGTTACTCATAATCCTCATGGAGGGGTAGTAACTTATGTATCTAATTCTATTCCACACCAATTTATTGCCTCCTGCTCAAAAACTGAATCTATCCTTCTGAAAATCAAATCAAATAAAAGTGATATTTTTATTTGCTCTTCGTATAGAAAACC